ATGATTTTTATAAAAACATATTCATTTAATGTCTATAAAGTAGGTACATTTAGAATTAGATAGATATTATTAATGGCTCCAGTTTCTAATAGGTTTCATAATGAATAAATAATATTATAAATATGAAACCTGCATGATGTTGTCATCAATTAAAATTATGCAATGACCATAACATTCTCCTTTCTACAATAATTTATTACAATTATAAATTAAAACTAGTCTCACTAAATAAGTTGTCAACAGTTATTTTTATGCTAACAGAACATTGAAAAAAGGCTAATAAGATTTTCATGTAGGTAGTATTTTATAGTTAAGATGCCATGCTACGCTGATCACACTTTCTAGGCTAACTGGGTGACCATTGCCAGTTTACACACATTACTAATTCATGTATGTGTATTATACTCAAACACAATCTATAGATTACCTGTGTATCTACCATAAATTAATCCAATGTTATCTCTGTTTCAAATATTGAACCTCTGATAAGAATGTTTCAATGCTTGTGTGTATAATTAAAAAAAACAAAAGGTCCAGTTATTAGTTTGCTATCCAAACAATCTGTGCAAACAAGTTTCCAGTATGATAAAACTAGTTATGTAAGGCATTTAATGTTTGTTATCAGATTTGTTTATCAGCAGTAGTTGAGTACAATGATTGAGGAACCAAAACAGAATTGGACACTTACCTTGAACATAGGCCTGGGATGCCTCGGCTGCGAGGGAGCAGCAGTGGTCGTGGTGGCCGCGGGGGCCGGCGCTGGCGCCGTCACGTGGTCCGCCGGCAACGACTCCGGGACAGTTTGGAGAGTAGGCCTCATAGTCGTCGACATTTTCACAATAACACTTAGTTCAAACACTTAACACCTTGCTAGCCCACCCTCGCCGTTCGCATCCTCTGCGGCGGCCGCGCGCTCAGCCCGCCAGACCGGCCCAGGCCTTCACCAGGACGCCGACACAGGCCCCGACTTAGCTCCACCGATTGCCGACCAACAACGCCCATCTAACCGCATTTTCGACCAGAAAAAAACATCGCGAAGCCCTATAACGAAAACTGTGGAACGATACGCGATACCTATTTCACTTTCACGTATATGTTAACGATCGTCGAGATGGAAAACGGAAATAGACACGCAAAAAACTATTAGAAAGCTTACGGTGTCTTCTCCTGTCACATAAACACTATCAAGGAAATCGGCGTTTAAGCTTTATAACGACGCGCAAACTGTTTCCGTTAACGCCACCGGCTCGAATACAGGTTACGAAATCGCGTGGTGGACAAATATAAATCCATTTAATAATAAAATTACTAAAGAAATTCACTTAACTCCGCTAAAAGTCCTCACATTCTTGAATTCACTCTCAAGATGGCGGATTTTACCTACTCCTCGTAAATGGGCACAAGGCTGACACGAAAACATCAACCGGCTCTCTATCAATCCCTTTCTTTTGGCAGCACATGAAAAGAGATAGTGATATGTGAACGAGTTCAACGGAGTTTTGTGATACGTCACTGAAAAAACTGCCAATGGAGCATGCGCAAAAGTAGCGAGTATTTGAAACTTTGAACGCACCCGTAGACGTTTCGTTAATGCGTTAAACTTATTTATCGGAACTGTTTTCTAATTTTATAAATGAAAATTCATATTAGTTTTAACAGTTCCATTATATTATTTCAGTAGTTTTTAACTAAACCGAAAAAAACACGCATTCTTAAAACATTATATAAAAATATTTTTGAATGGGCCAACTCTGTAAGCATTTATTTTATGTTGGCAAGTAACTTTGCCGCCATGTTCATAAATATGGCTGCCTTGTTGTTGGCGACTGTTGGGTGCTTGTTTAGAAATTAATGTTTGTTTCTTTCGTTTATTATGATTTCAATTAACTGCATTTGTAAAATATTGCAGCTTAGGGCGGATAACATAATTTATTGGTGAGTGAGTATTATTCAATTAATGTTAAGACCGTTTAAAGTGTTCGTTAACGTAATAACAATCTGCTTGGAACAACGTGAGCTTTTCTAATGCGTATTCGTTTTCTTTATGTTATTCATGATAAGTGTTGAGATAATGTATCGAAATGGTTTGTTTGCGAATATGTATTATAATTCAAGGTTCGGATGCAAGTGAGGGTCATATTTACATAAGTTGTGACCTTAGTACATGCAGACAACAAAAGAATACTTCCATAGATCTGTTGTCAGCAAGTAATGTTCATAATGTTTTCTTATTTTATTAGCGGTTATTCATCTGTTCCAAGTATAAAATGTTTTGGAATAAGTGGTGTGTGCGCTATGTCGGTAAACTGAGCAGATAATAAAAAGTAGGTGAACGAACCCCGTTTTGTATCCACAAATAGTATAGTGCTTTCTAAAGTTCGATTTTTGCTTACGCATCATAGCGGCTTCTTCGAATCCGATTCACAACGTTGCACACAGCTTCGTAGTAAGATTTTGAGCGAAATGCATCATTATTTATCGACAAAATATTTACATTTTGCAAAGTGAATGAAACATCTTAGTTCCGGGAGATCAGGGCTCTTTTTTATGTATGTTGATAAATTAGACGAATCAACAATATTTACAGTTAGTTTCCGATGGTGTTGATGATAACATTACGTATCTTGATGTTAACAATTTGTTCTTATCAGAAGAATGTCAATATACTTGATAAAATGTATGAAAATTTCTAGTAAATGTTACAAGTATTGAAAAAAAAGTCACAGTCATGATTTCTTCATTACAGTGAGACAAACATGAAGTTTGTTATTTTAAGAATTCAGTTAGTTAAGTATATTTATACAATACTGTTTTGCTTCTATCTGTAACTATAATTACTAAGGTATGATGAGAAGCAAAAACTTCTACCCTTTCTTCTGAATTTTATGGCTGATGCAAGATCGTGAAAGATATACATGTTTATGTTCATAACATGCAAACCTAATATCTTTGTATAACATGTGATATATACAAGAAGATAATTTATTTATAAAATAAATAAAACACTATTCACATACTATTTTGCTTTTCACTCACTCACTCCCTCACACTCAAACAATACTAATGACTTCTTAATTTATTATTTATTTATTACTTTCAGCCATGATTGACCCACTGGGGGGAAAACTCCTACTTATTTAAATGCTGTAAATAAACTTACCTAACTTTTTATAAAAATAATGCCTTTTTATTCAAGGTTCCCATTCCTATAAGATCAATATTATTATGGCACATCCCTAGGGCATTTTCCTATTGCATAGTTGTTGCGAAGTAACACTAAAAATGTATGAACATCTTAGTTACTTGTTATAAGATATGCGGCGAGGAAAAGAAGCTGCTTGAGGTCACAATAAGGTTGACATTCAAACCAAATTAACAGGCCGCAACAGCTGATGCTGAAGTGTGCACACCTGTATTGGTAATAATGTGATCAGTAAATTATCTTGCACAAATGGTGTTGCCTTTTAAAATATTTTTTCATATTAATTATTCCTTCCCATGCTAAAACTTTCCTGGGGCGATTCATTTTTGCTGCCCTTACTAAAACTTGCCTGGGATGGGCTGATACAATTAATTTTTAGTCCCCTGTCAGGTACCAAAAGATTGATTTTGGATAAAATTATTATGTGAAGTACTTACCAATTAATTCTTTTTTATGTACTTTTTTTTCATCCACCCTCTATTTAAACTGTCAAACACCACGAGGATACCGGTGACCGCCACCTATTGTTCTTTAATTGTGTCTATAATGATGGTACTTAAAGGGTTAATTTAATACTTGAGTTATCATTCAATGTTCAATTCTTATACTACATCAGTCATTCATCCCTTCTTTGATCCAGCCATTGCGTTAACGGTTGAGTTACCACATCTCTACTCTTATTTTTTTCTCCTTATATTCTTATCAGGTTAAATCAATTTACTTGTTAAATCAATGGTTAAAAAATTAGAGTATAAAAATGCAAAAGTTGGATCGTTCAACATGTAGTAGACATAATATATAACTTCACACCGGTCTCTCATGGGGGTAGGCAGAGACTAAGGAACGCCACTCTAAATACCTCTTTCGCTTCATCAAAAGTTATCAATCTTTACATATGCATGCTTGTCAGTTACCTAAGGGTACTATTAATTTGATCCTTTTTTTGATATATCACCAAAGTATACAATATACTGGACAAAGGAGCAATATTTGCCTCTTATTATCCTTTTATTGTGTGAAGGTTGACTTGTAAAATATTCAGAGAATTGGAACAAGGTTTGCGCACAATTTTAATGTTACAATGAAGTATTTTCAGAACAAAAGGGTCTTTTTTGTGCTTATTGATTTCAAATGATCTTAAGTATAAAAATGTTTCTCTGAAAAGAAGTTATTCTAGTGAAAATATTGTTTTATGTTTCCCATCAATTGCTGTGCTGAACATAAACATTAATAAGACAAGCTACTCTTCTTATTTGCTAAAACTTTTTAACATTTTTAAATCACAATTTGTGAGTTTGAGCGGAAATTCCCCTAAAAACTTACTAAGTGTTGGTTTCCTTAGGAATAATAGATTTAGCTGTGCATTTTGTAACTTTGTCACTAGTAAAATTAAGTGTAATTTATATTTTGTTTCATTAAGTTCTAAAAGAAGCAAATTACAAAAATAATATTATTATTAATTACATTACGAAAATAAAATATTCCTATATTTTAACACACAATACACACACACACAATTTTAGTTCAATTTCTAACTGGGAATAGAGCACAGGTACATTCTTGGATAACTCCTTAATAGCCAAGACTTGCACTAGTCTAGATAAACGATACGTTGGTATTATTAATGAACATAATTATTAAAAAAAAAACATTTTTATTTGTTCCAGATTTTATTTAACCGAGAGACCCACAGTTGTCCGAGAGGAGAGCTTTTTTTTATAAATGAGCCCCACCTAGTAATATAAGCTTGTAGCTATCATAAGCAGTTCTATTTGTAGAGGAGTTGGATAATTGTATTATGTCCAAGATGTGGCCGGCGTCGCAGTATTCCCATAGCAATGCGCCCATCCCCAACAATGCAGGAAAATCGAATGAACATCAGAACCAACAAAATTTGAAGACCTTGGGCATGACCTCAGCCATTTCCATGGCAGGTAAGTTATCTACATTTATCCTTCTTAAATAAAACATTGATAAAGTATATTTATAAAACTTTACCAAGGTCAGGGTCGGTTTAATTTTGCCTAAATAACTTTATCTCAGTAATGACCTTGATATAAATAAAAACTGTCTGTTGTGCTAAACCACATCTTAATTCTGAGAATTGTTTGTTATTAGTCTAGGTTAATGTGTCAGTTAATCTCTAATGATTTGCGTAATTGTGAAAACCTAGATTAGTAATACTAAACTATGACCTCTATAGCCGTTAATATTTATAAACAATATGGTTTCCAGTGATTTAGAAAATTTCCTCATTCATATAAATAATTAACTTTTATCACATAACCCTCACTGCAGTGTTAGTTTCTGAAGTGTAGCGATCTTCTGTATTTATTTTACTTACATTATGATTGCAGGTCCGAAGCCCATTGATATAGAAAAAACCACAGAACTAAAACAATCCCTGATTCCATATGGAGTCTTTGAATCTGAGCAAGAGATGCATCATAGGATGGAAGTGCTGGGTGCCCTGCACAGACTTGTGAGACAATGGATCAGAGAGGAATCTATGCGGAAGAATATGCCTCCTAACGTAGCTGATACCGTCGGAGGAAATATTTATACATTTGGATCTTATAGGCTTGGAGTAAGTTGGTTTAGAGATTTTATTTATTTTCTATTTATATTTTAGATAGACTGTTTACATGTAAGACATAAATGTGAACAATGCTCACAAGACAGAATTTGTAAAGCATTTTCTTATGATCTATTGTAGTCGGCATTAGTGCTGCTACTTGCCAATTTTACCTTTAATGCGTATAAACAAGGTTTATTTTACAGTAACATTATTTCTTCACAGTATATTGACTTGTGGATGTTTTTTTGACAGGTGCACCATAGGGGCGCCGATATTGACGCGCTGTGCGTTGCCCCGCGTCACATAGACAGGATTGACTATTTTGCGTCGTTCTACGAGTTATTGAAGGCGCAACCTCAGGTTAGTAAAACTTTCAGAATGCAAATTGATGCATTGAGGCTAGGTTGGCGCAGGTAGACCAATCAGCTACTACCTGTGTCACGAGGTCGGAGCGGAACAACATTCTCTGAGATCCACAAAATATTATTCTGAGTTTAGGTATGATTTTTATGAGGTAGCCGGTAAACGAGCATACGTATCACCTGATGGTAAGCAATTGGCATCGCCCAGGGACACCGAGAACACTAGAGGTGTTACAAGTACGTTATCGGCCTTTTGGGAAATAAAAATTTGAGGATTGTTGGAGATTCAGGCGTTGGGGAGATTGGGAAAGGGGGGGTGGGGGTAATTAAGCCACCAGTAACGTCATTCACACGACGAAACACCACGCAAGCGTTGTTTCACGTCGGTTTCTTGTGAGGCCGTGGTATCACTCCGGTCGAGCCGCCCCATTCGTGCCGAAGCATGGCTCTCCCACACTTGTGGATGATGAGTCTTACGTTTATAGACGAACATACTGTGTATTTGGAAAATAATATCTTCGTATGATGTAAAATTTCATTAATACTAGTGTAGGTACTGATTATTGTAAGAAATATACATATCTTGGACATTGTCCTTTTCCAATTTCTGTTCCCGATACTGATTAAAGGCTCGTACACAAAATTGCGATGCGAAGTCGCATCGCAAGAACTTGCGAATTGATTCGCATCGCGCATCAAAATCTTATCTTCCCAAAATCTTCTTTGTTTCTTTTTCCTCTATCTCCTAAGCAATAACAGAAGTGCACACTTCTTTTTACGATCCATGCCACGACCTAGTTTTCAATTTCAAATAAGTTTAGTACGGTTGACGGTCGTCGAAGGAATGATTACCATGGGGACGCCTTGTCGCACGAAATTGCATCGCAGCAATTTGCATCGTATTTTTTTGCGTTGCGAATTCGCATCGTATTTTTTTGCATTGCGAATTCGCATCGCATCGCAGTTTTGTGTACGAGCCCTAACTGTACTGTAACCATATGAAATTTCACTATATCGAAATACTCTCACTACCACTCAATTTTAAGTCCCGTTAAATATAGTTCTATGACTATTACTTTGTAAATGACAGAGATGGCACGATATTTAAGTTAGACTCAAAATTTTGTAGCCTTTCAGTATTCGGGCGTAAGAGTCCTGGTGGCGTATTATGACGTCTTAAAGCCAGAGTGGTTCCGTTGAGGGAACGAGATCGCGCTAGACGACTTGTGTAGCTCTGTTTCTTTCCCTCAATGGAACAATTCTGACTTTAGGACGTCATAATAACCCCGCTGGGCGTTATTCGTCAAATCACAAGTGAAAAAGATTTTTTGCAGATAAATATATTATATTTTGTTTAGGTGAAGGATCTGCGAGCTGTTGAGGACGCGTTCGTGCCCGTTATCAAGATGAATTTCGACGGAATTGAGATTGATTTGCTTTTTGCCAGGCTGGCACTTAAGGAAATACCTGGTAAGATTCCTCTTATTGCATATGGGTCATAGTCGTAGTTGAAAATAGTAGTATTTGTAGAGGTAATTACAGTGAAGCTACTTTTCACTGGGTTTTTAAATATTAATAAAAATATTACTGTTACATTATTATTATTACTGGGTTTGAAACAATTCTCAGAAGTAGCACGGAGTCTGGAATTGTCCCGGTATATGCCAATAAGCTCGCCCCCTATTACATGGGACTCATAACAACACTTGTACAGTGGCATTAAGTGTCGTAATGTGCACCTTTGCCTATCCCTTCGGGGGTTAAAAGGCGTGATGCTATATTATTTCTATTTTTCACGTTGAATTACAATTTCAAATTTTTTTAGTAAGCTATTTAGTGTGGACGCAACATATCTTGTTCCATTTTCCACTATGGGGGCTACCGTTTTTTTCACACACTAGATGTCGCTAATTTAGATAAAAGTTTTTTGTCCAATCACTGTAGCTGTTCAAAATTGAATGACCAATGATGTCACACTAGCTAATTTCCTATTGGACAAAAAGAATAGAGGTTCACACTAGTGCCATCTGGTGAGAAAAAAACGGTGTAGACATAACATCATATTACTAACTCCCATTTCTTTACGTAGTCCTTCGATCTTTTTCCATTTTTATCAAATCAAATTTTGTACACTATTTTTAAACGGCTTCCCAAAAAGGAGGAGGTTATCAATTTCGTCAGTTTTTTTTTCTTTATTTTGTTATGTTCATTATGAGTCGACATCTTCCAGAAACAAAACGAGCGATGTTTTGATATGTCTATCGCACAATAATTCTACTAATCGATAGCGCTTATACATATGTACAACATTAATAAACATTGACTCACGCCTTATCTTAATGTCAATGAAAAATAAACATAGTCGAGTTATAAAGGGGAAAACCAGATCTAAACTTTAAACCAGTTCATATATTAAAAGATTTGTCTTATTACCCAGCCTATATGTTCATAGAATCGCCTACTTTGTTCCTAGATATACCATGCGAAAAATATGTTATAAATAAACTGACTTCTAAAACTAAACACAAACAAAAATTAAAAAGCAAAAGTAACTATTATTGGTCATACGTAGGTACTTTAGCTTACACACCTACTGATAGGTGAGAAGTCGGAGCCATTATAAAAAAAAAAAATCGGTCCAGGCGTCTCCGAGTAATCGAATAACATAATAAAAATAGTCGAATCGAGAACTTTTTTACTCCTTTTTTTTAAGTCTGTTGAAAATTACAACTAGATCTTCTTTTACTCGGTTTTTATTTGAATTTTTAACCTCATAGGAGGGCAATAGGGTAGATAATTTATTTTTATTTAAATGTCCGTCTGGTAGATTATTTAAAAATATTTGGTACGTATTTTATTACTTACGCAAACGAATAGTTTCGACGATATATTGATTTGAAATATCGCATGACGTCACTTTTGTGTACGTACGACTTATACTAAAAAATGACGTAGTTACCTCCTAATCTTTAATTCGTTTTATCCAAGTATTGTTTTCTTATACGACGAAATAAAAAAATAAGTGTCTAATATTTTTTTATTTTCTAACTGACGGACTAATTCCATATTTAATTTTCATACCCCACATTATCCCTATTAACGCAATTTTAGTGATGTGAATTAAAAATTGATGTTATAAGTTAATTTCAAAATTGTAAGATCTTAGGTAGAATATCCAATCAAATTAGATAATGTTATGTCTAAAGTAATAACCCTTTGACCTGCCTAGTACCTTAGTTACTGTGTAGACTCAACATAGAACTATGTTTGTGTAATGAATATTGGTATGTTTTTCATCAGATTCCTTCGATCTTCGCGATGATATGCTCTTGAAAAACTTAGATCAGAAATGTGTGCGTTCGCTAAACGGATGCAGAGTAACCGACGAGATTCTCCGCCTCGTACCCAATATAAACAACTTCAGGCTTACTCTACGCGCCATCAAGCTGTGGGCAAAACGTATGTATCTAAATATAATACAATGTTTTTAGAATTACTATATCAATGAGACAGTAAAACATTTTTATTTCATATTAACTAAAATCGCGGTTTACTCACGTGAGTATACTGAGAAAAGCTCTACTAGTTTCGAACTACATAGGGGTTCTTCCTCGTGAGCAGTGTGCGCGGTCGCGGCGACATCGCTCAGCTCACTGGCTGGCGTTGGCGCCCGCCTCGGTGTTGCTACTTGCGCTGCGACTAGTCGAAAGTAGAAGAGCTTTTCTCAGTATACTCACGTGAGTAACCCGCGATTTTAGTTAATTTAGTATGTCTCACGATAGTTATAATAAAAACATTTTTATAATAGAGTAATGATGGAGTTTTGTACTCGTTCTTCTCCATTCGAAACTACACTTTGGAACGAGCGCCTAGCTTCACTGACAGACAGATGGACAATTTAATTTTTTGACGTTTCTAAAGTGCCTTATTAAGGATCAATTGAAATAAATGCGTTGACTTTGACTTTACAGCAGTCTTCAAAATGTAGTCGTAAGTGCAACTAATGATGAGATAAGGTTCTCCCTTGGAGCAGGAACTAACATCACTCAAAACCCCTTGAAGCATTATTGCACCTTGGGAGTTTTTGGTGTCAGATTTTTAAATCAGTTGCCGGATTTATCAATCAGTTGCCAGATTTAGGCTACACTATATTGATTTTTTATGTGGTTAGAAAATCATCAGATGACTCCCTCCTGGGCGAGGCGGCATCTGCGCATTCATGACGATCCATGCCCATACGAGACGTCGGCAGACTACAACAAGACTACAGGAGACAATTTCAATAATATACAAATGATTGTTCAACAGGTCACGGCATATATTCAAACACTCTAGGATACCTAGGTGGTGTGTCATGGGCCATGTTGGTAGCCCGGACCTGTCAGTTGTACCCCAACGCACTGCCTGCGACATTGGTGCACAAGTTCTTCCTGGTGTTCAGCCAGTGGAAGTGGCCACAGCCAGTTCTGCTGAAACAACCTGATTCAGTCAACCTTGGGTTCCCCGTGTGGGATCCTAGAGTGAGTATTCAATTTCTATTGAGTTTCATATGTATGCTGCATTCAGTACCGTCTGTACCATAGTGGCTCGGTGCCCGTTCCGAGGGCCCCCATCATCCTCAGGGAGCCCCGATGGACCGACAATTTTTACAACGTACACACCCGCTACACGTTGCGCAACTTGTAGGTTCGATTCCCACACGGAGCAAATCTTGAGTGCTTGTTTTGTTTCGTGTTTGTAAATGCGCCCACGATACAGAAGAAAATCATAGTGTGTGTGTGTGGCAACATAAAAAAAAAGAACATTCCAAAAGGGGCCCGAAATATTGTGCCATAGGCCCTCAGCGTACTTAGTCTAAGACGGCCCTGAGTGAATTTGTATTTTATAGTCATTGCGTCTGTCTCGTAAACACACTGTTAAACTGTCAAACACCAAGCGGTCACCGGTGACCGCGACCTATTGTTCTTTAATTGTGTCTATAAAACCGGTACTCGACGAGTTAAAGCCAAACAACTAGCTTAATCAAATTAATTTACCTTTTATAAAAAACTAGCGATCCTCCCTAGCTTTGCACGAGTGCAATATGCATGTATTATATACATATATATAAACCTTCCTTAAAAATCACTCGATCTATTAAAAAAACGCATCAAAACCCGTTGCGTAGTTTTAAAGATCTAAGCATACATAGGGACAGACAGACAGATGGCGAATAGCGACTTCGTTTTATTAGTATAAAACGAAGTCGCTATTCGCCGTCTGTGACAGACTAACACTAACTAACACTCGACACTATCACTACGACTACGTAGTATATATGTTACTGTAAAAGCTCGAACTACGGTAAATCTTAAGATTTAAATGTAAGTCTTAGGATTTACCGACATGAGTTGGTAAATGTAAGTATTTCTGAAGATACGACGATTTTTTCGAGCTTTTACCATTCGAACTCAGTATATGCTAGGTTTTACCACTGTCAGCTGGTAGATGTTGGTTTTAGGAATAAAACAATGAGTAGTTCTTAATTATTTACTTTCAACTATTAGACAAAACAGGTACATAGTATTATAAAGATATAATAATGATAGTGACAAGTATCCTTGTTCTTCCACCGTGTCCAACAGCAAAATGCGTTTCTTCGAGAATGTTAAATAAATCGTCATAACAAACGTAATATTTGATTTCATCATTATCTTCCTTCATCGGGGCATTTAGCTTTTCTTCGCCGCCTATCAAAATATCATAGCGTTTTATACGCCTGTAATGAACAGCTTTCTTCTTTTTAATGTTCTTTGCAGTTTTTACTTCCTCTAAACACTTAGCGTATTTGTCTTTATCAAGATAAAAGTTATTATCTTTCTTGTTTGCCACAAACTCGTCCATTATTTCATAAAATCTTTGCTTCATACTCATTCTGATTCACAAATAACTTTTAAACAACAAAAATATAATTAGAAATCAATTTATCGTGCGAGTTCAAACGTGTCAAACAACGACAAGGCGCTTGACGTTGACGAGGCAACGTAAAAAGTTTCCATTTACGAGTAGTTGGCAGTATGAGTTCATAATTTGGTCCGAACGAGACGACGCTAACGTATGTCGCCAAGCATAGACGGCAACCGTATGGACGAAGTTCACACGGAGCGGCGGAGACGGTGCGCGGCTAGCGGTAACGGCGAGCTACAAGTCAATGCGCTGAGTACGTTATGACATGTTTTGTTTTTCAACATTTACCATGCCAATAATGTAAATCCTAAGATTTACCAACGGAATGGTGGTAAAAGTTCGAATCGCAAATCTTTTAGGACATTTACCATTAGGAATTGGTAGATCTTAGGTTTTACTGGAATATCTTAGGATTTACTGCAGTTCGAGCTTTTACAGTAACATATATATAGATAGGGTCGAGTGTTAGTCAATCTGTCATTACTAAATTTGCGGAAATATGTACTTAAAAAGAAAACTAAATATTACGATAAAAATGTCTATCACCTTTCTAATAGTGGAGCCATTTTAATTGTACGTATTTATTTCCAGGTAAACATTTCCGACCGATTCCACCTTATGCCTATCATCACACCAGCGTACCCGCAGCAGAATTCCACTTTCAACGTATGTGCTTCCACCAGGACTGTTATTATGGAGGAGTTTAGAATTGGTAAGATTTTAAGAGTAACTTGGAACTTTACTCCCTACTCTATTTGGGTGTAATAAAAAATCCCAGTAGAAAACTGAGGGATATCGTCTTGTAAGTTTTTTTAAGGTACACGTGGAGACAGTTCGTCTGATATTAATTAGTAAGCCGCCCATGGCCACCCGCAACACCAGAGGAATTACAAGTGCGTTGCCAGCCTTTAGAGGAATGGGGGATTAAGCCTCATACGACGACATTGACTGCATGGTTGGTGCGGTAGCAGAGCAACTGGCTTCCCCGCAACGTGTCGCGTGTTCGATTCCCTTTGTGTGATCCACTTATTGTTGTTTCGGGTCTGGGTGTCATGTGTTTGTGAACATGTACATATGTTTGTAAACGCACCCACGACACAGGAGAAAATCCTAGTGTGAGCAATGTATACTTACTCGGCCAAACATACTCTTTGTTTCACATCATTTAACAACATCTCTCTCTCACGCAGAAGTATCCTATTTATACTGATCATTCTGTACATTTTAATTAATATTAAATATTGTCCTCAGGTCTAGCCATAACTGATGAAATAATGCTCGGCAAATGTGGATGGGAGCGTTTGTTTGAGGCGCCCAACTTTTTCTCGCGGTACAAGCATTTCATAGTGCTCCTGGCTTCCTCAGCAAGTCCAGATGACCAGCTACAGTGGTGTGGACTTATTGAAAGCAAGATCCGACATCTAATCAGTCAGTATATCATATTTTAAAAATTAATATCCTGCACGATTTTCATTAAAATCGGTCAAGCAGTTTGTATGCAAATGTTTAACGCTTTGACACTACATGGGATAGTCGCCAGCAGTTTAATCTACTCTTTGCTATCTTTCTTTACTATATTCTCAACTTTATTGTTCTAGTATAAGATTGAAAATCCTATAAAAAATTGAGAGGAGTAATTTCACCTAATAATGACTGTACAGTTTTCTAGCACGTAAATATACAACATAATAAAACGCTATGCTGGTTTGCAATCAACTGAACTTCTTTTTTTTTAAATATATATAAGATATTTCTGGATTAGGACGACACAGTCAGTTAAACACAATTGAGTTTCTCTGTAAGAAAAGATTTATTGTTTATAAAATATGAAAATTTAACAAATATGTGTGATAACTTATTAAGTTTCAAACTATTACAAACCTGTAAGAAAAGAAACGACATTTAATGTTATTATTAACAATGCCAGTTCCTAATCACAATTATAATACTTAATTAATGAAATTAATAACCAATTTATTGTTCTTCTCAACAAATACTAATTCTAGGATATTTTATTTAAATAGACAGATGACATATAAACGTCATCTGTTAGATCACATTCAAATAAAGAAATTTATATTATTTCTTTACATATATTTGAACATCACTCATCCGTTCATCCGGTCTGTTCATTTTAATGTAAGTAGTAGTAGTTATTCGGAGTCGCGGAGAACCTAACGGGTAACCGGGGCTCCGGCTCGACGTGCAGGAGAAGGAACGGGGTGGTTTTTAGTCAGTAAGAGTCTGACACTCCCTCCCGTCTCACCCAGGTGGGAGCAGTCATTCGATGATTTTCCCCCCTTAAAAAAAAAGTAGTAGTTGTTGTAAGTTTAACGTAATGGATACTAGATGGCGTTGCAATAGCTATATTTGGTTATTTTGTTCTATCTATTTCACAGAACATTTGTAATATTCCAGACGTAGATAGTGTAGGGAAATATTCTTTTGCTTATCATTTACTGTATCAACGTACGTTACGTTATGTACCTACAGCACGAAATGGATCAATGACTCGTAATTAACACATTCAACGCCATGGGGGTCGTCGGTCACTGACGCTAGCGGAGGGTCTGCCTTCAACAGTTTTCTATTGGCAGTCAAAACCTTAACATTTTTGTATGTAGCACAACATTAATACATGTGGGTAGTAAAATATTCGTAGTCTCCAGTGCACACATAAATAAAATATTATTTGGTTTTAAAATTTTTTTTATCATAATCTGTGGTCTAGCCGTTCCAGCTATAATGAGATTGTTTAGTGAATTATTTTTGTTTTATATCGATGGTTTTATATCAATGCCACGTATTTGAATGTATGTTTTTATCATCCCTAATCTTTTTGTGGGTACTAAGAGTCAATTACAGGACCCAATATTTAACAGGAAACCAGGCGGCAGCGTTCTGATAGACTTCGTCCTTTTGGACTGCCATCTGCAACTTGCCAACCAAACATGGAGATCGTTCCACCTCTCTGGCGTAATGAACGGTCTTTCTTTCTTTTCCGTTGCAAGTCGACTGCCGGGCAAGGTGTCGCGGGTTCGATTCCTGAGTCGGGCAAAATATTACTGGACTTTAAAAAAAATCTCAGTAGTAGCACGTAGTCTGGTAATATGGCAATAGGCGCACCCTCTATTACATGGGATTCGTAACATAAATAGTGGTTGTTACATTGTATAGTGGCATTAAGTGCCGTAATGTCCACCTGTCCCTTCGGGGATAAAAACCGTGATGTTATGTATGATCTTGCGTTTTCTCTTATAGAAGCTCATAGTTCAGTAGTGCAATCTCATAAGCTGTTGATGATGATGACTTTATTGCATATAGCTTACAATGATGTTTACTCGTTACAGCAACACTGGAGCGTAACACCCACATCACGATTGCACACGTCAACCCGGAGTGTTACAACTCGGTTCCGTTGAACACAAACAACGGACAGCCTCTAGCCTTGCCACCAGGTATGAATTGAACTTGAAATTATAACTAAACTAGCTTTTACCCGCGGCTTCGCTCGCGTCACAAAAGAATAAAAAGTAGCCTATGTGACATTTACCAATACACACAGCGCCATCTATACCAATATTTTTGTTTTTCCTCGGGAATATCAATTATTTCCGGGATAAAAAGTACCCTATTATTTAATCCTGATTATAAGTTTAATTTTGATTTTAATTTTAATTTTGGCTTTAGTTTCATATTCTATTGCAGCGTTTTCTTTTCCTCCAATTAATTTATTGCTAATTTATTAATGTAAATTAATGCGACTTAATTTGATTTTTTAGCCAACATCTTGTATTCTAATTTTGTATCCAATTATTGATATTTTTTTTCTTAAAGAATGCGGTGCTCGCCTGTAATCGATTGTAACATTTTACTGTTATCTTAATTAAATGTTTGTTATTTAATGTAAGAATGTATATGTAGGATCAGGGTCCGACATCATTTGAAAATAAAACAAAGGGCTTCACACAATCACTTAGTTTATTTCGATTAAATGAACTTACTTTCACATTAATTTTTAATTATAATAATTGAATAATTCGGCACTGATTATATAAAGGAAACACTCAAATAAAACCAACAATAAAATTACTCAGCGATTGCGTAACGTGTGAACTTAACTTAATACCTGGGGCATTAAGTACGCCAATTGGGTACTTTTCTTAATCAAAACTAAATAATTTCGACTGGTCAATACAATGAAATATTAAAATGTAATCACACTTTCATTAATTGATTTTATGACCAACTTAATTTTAGTATTTTTCCAGCAAATTTTTAAGAAATAAGTATGCTGTTTGACGCTAAAAAAAGTAACGTCACAATACACAATCTCGTACAAAATTCATAGAAAACTGTCATTTTGACAGTTCCAAAAAAGTATTGAAAGTTGACAAGTACCCAATTTACTGTATGTAAGCATGCAATGAATATCAATAAGTTCTGAAAGTCATGACGATGATTTATCCAATCTACCATTCAATAATACATAATTATAAATATTATTTGTCTGTCTCAGGAGTACCAATGCCAGCAGACCCATCGCCAGAAGTTAAAAAGAATGAAAATGTAAGTATAGCTAACAAGTAAATTTCATAATAACTATCGTGAGACATACTAAATTAAGTAAAAACACGGGTCACTCACGTGAATATACTGAGAAAAGCTCTACTAGTTTCGAACCACAGAGGGGTTCTTTCTCATGAGTAGCGTGCACGGTCGCGGCGACGTCGCGCAGTTCATAATTATTAAGTAAATTTCAGTTCATTCCTTATTTTATAAAATAACGGGCATAAAGGCCGGCTATCGACGCCACCCACTGTCACCCGCAACACCAAAGAAACTTGTAATCCTTTGCATGGCCAATATTTTAAAAAAGAGTGAGTTGTTATGTTGAAATTCTCTTTACTATCTCTGGCAATGCAAATTCAACTTAATTGTTGGACCGGTATAATTCAAATATTAATATTTACTTCTATTTCTATTTCAGGGTGAAGTAATAGCGAATTATTGCTCAATGTGGTTTATTGGGCTAGTATTTGAGAAGACCAACCTGAATGTAGATCTGACGTGTGATATACAGACATTTACTGAAGCCGTCAACTATCAGGCAGAGAACACTAACATGTTGCGAGAAGGCATGACTATCGAGGTAATTGGATTTTTCCTCTAAAGTAAAGAATCTCTTATGAAATCAGATTAGAAATAATGTATTACCGTAAAACAGGGTGAATAGTTACAGGAATGGGGTGGATAAGTGTTAGAATACTTTCCCAACATTTATTCACCCTTCTTTTGTATCTATTCACCCCTCGAATTCTATTCACCCCTTGATTTCTATTTACCCCGTTTTACTGCATATCATTGTCACCGACCCATATTCCATGAACAGTATATAAAAACCGTTTTGTGTGATCATTCCTACAGACTTGGTAATGTACTGTGAATCCTTTTAAACAATTTATGGAAAACTTAACTCACAATAGAACTCCAGGATCGTGTAGACCAGAGACCTGATTTTATGACCGAGGAGTTTATTACGTGAGGTGTAATGTAAAACAAAAAAAAAATTAAAAATCGGTCCATACATATTTTTCATAACAGCGCCTGAACTATTTTCAAAGCAATTTTTTTATCAAATGAAAAAAATATTAATTTAGGGAGTAAGCTTTATTTTATGGTACATTTTCATCTTTTTTTTTTAGGATATGTCATTTTATTATAGGATGTTGGTTATTTTGTATGGATTGTGATGCTTCTTCTTTGCAATGTTATTACAGGCGCGCCATGTCCGACGTAAGCAGCTGCACCAGTACCTCTCCGCCTCCTTACTGCGTCGCGAGCGGACCTCCTCCGGCACCAAGCGCAAGATACACGACCGTCCGCCACCACCGCCCGGACCTCAAAAGAAGACCAAACGACTCTCCGAGAGCAGCGTAACTACTTTTTAATGATTTCTAGAACAATTTACAAACTATTTTCTTACGTTTTATTAATATTATTGACATGACCAACCACTTCCTCTCCAACCAGTGTCTGGCTTTTAAACCCTATAATTTCTTTCTTCTGTCGATCTTTCAGATTGGTTCAGTTATCAATTGGGTAGTTTCCTGGGTCAAAAATAAATTATTTAGATTTTTCAGTTCAATTAAATATCGAAAAATATTTACACTTTCATTCATTGAATTGCCGATATACTTATATTTCGATTTATTCTCGCATTTTTTTTAGATTTAAATGTGCTATTTGACGCGAAAATATGATGACGTCATAAGATGGTATGTCGTACAAAATTCATAGCAGTATCGTTTTTGACGTTTCGATAAAAGTATTGAATTTGACATAGATATGAATATGATAGTTGTCAACTACCGTATTAACTTGAAATTGCATGCAATCAATGGCCAATGAAAATACTTTCCCATTATAAGTTGTAATAAACTGATTCGTGTTACTAAACCAATCACAATCATCCACAGACGGAGGAAGTCGGCGTATTATCATACAATGAGGACTCCAACTCGTCTAACGTATACGAAGTAAACTTACACAACGGAGCGGCGCAACATGCAGGAACAGAGGCGGAGATCGCGCGACCGAAACCCGCCGCAGACAAGGCTGAGCATCCACCTTCCACATCAAACTCCATCGCCTGTACGTAGCAGTACGAGGAATGGCGTACCAGGTTCATTTATGGAACCGCCAACGTCAAGCTCACCAGAAAACGTGTATAAATGTTAGACAGTGAACTAAGTGATCAACAGACTAATGTGATTATAGTGTGTAAGAACTTGTGATAGTTAAGATTCGAACAATTATTGCAATTTTAATGGTGCAAGTATGTGACGTTTTGGTGTTGCCCTGCTGATTAGGACTGACGGTTTCATAATGGTGAGTATTTGATCCATTGGTGTGATTGACTATTAATAAATTATTACAAATATAGAGCAGTTAGCAAATGGAGTGCCAATTATATAGATTTTGATAAACATAGGATCTTTAGGAAATTTGGCACTTTGAAATATTCCTTTTTCTACATAAATAAGGCTAGGCAGATTTGATCAGATATTTGTAACATATTATTCGCGTAAGCCCCATAATAGTAGCACTTCATTTGTTACCAACTCTGACCTTAAATAAGCAATAAAGTAGAAGAGTTAACACAATCAGACAGAACCTAATTCGATACTTTACATATCTGTTTAGGTGTACGTCTTGGAATGACTTGACAACTGGGAATTTTAAGTGAAACACAATTTTAGATTTAGTATAATTCAAATGATATAGCTGAGTATTGGGCTCTCCACACTGACCCCTGCGGTATCCAGCCGTGATTGGTCGGGCTAGCGTGAAACTTAGTTCGACGTAAGTTTTACAGGCTTTAAACTTTTACAATTACCTGTTTAATCACGTAGATTAGAGAGTTTGTTTAATCGCCTAGTTATCGTAGTCTCATCCTGTTCTTTGAAGCATGTAGCTTGCAATACTTTTGCACTTTGATGTTACTAGTGCCAGAGTGTCAGCTCATGAACTGTAGGTTCGATACCTACTCTTAAATGTGTGATTGTGTGTAACAATATTGTGTCTATAAATATTTATCAAGTCTAGCTATTCTCAAATAATTTTGTATGCTCCATAGATGTGATACGGGGACAACGCATCGTGGCTGCGTAAGTTATCAAAATATCATTAGACATTATAAAGGAAAAAGTAAAAAAAAAAAATGTTTTAGAGGTATAAAGTGATATGATGAAGGTCCGTATTATTGTACGAGATATTCGGGTGTTGTTTATTTGCAGATGGCGCGAGGGCGGGACGGCGTCATGTAAGTCTGGCACTGTCACACGTAGGGCTAGGGTGTCAGGCCGTTTGCAAGGAACTACACAAATGTATTGACGTCGCGGTTGCGACAACATGACTGCCGAAGCTTTACCAATACGGAGTAGTGACGAACGGAGTGCTGATTGGTATATTTTTTTGTAGATTTGCACTCGCGTCGTACGAAGGAGATGGCACGGATTATCGTTCGCCAGGACGGAGCGGTGCTGCGTATCCATTGACGGATGTTCCACTGTAAGGCGACGTAGACCTTAGCGCTCCATTTATTTACTAATCCTTAGTGTTAAGTCTCTTATAGAATATTATTTTCATACATTATTTATGATCTAGCCCGCCAGTCATGTTGATCGCATAACGTAAGATTTTTTGTGCCTAATATTTTTAAGAACAAATATCTGTGAGTTAGTTCTATGGTAAAACTAAAAAGGTTTCTGGGGCAAGTGCCGCCATTTTATTTGTAGGCTTTTACCGTAGTTTTGTTAAGAAGAGTAGACTTACGAAATAGATGATTAACACAATTTTAACTGACAGTCAAACCGCAATGAAATGCGTCGGGCATTTTGCGTTACATTATACGATTTTGCATGATACAATATTATGATAGCGATAAAAATTGAATTTAGAAGAATTATTCAAATATTTTGTTTTGCTAAATTACCTATCTAAATATTTGCTCAGAGAAAGTATTCCATTTTATGTTAATAATTTTATATTTTCACAATTTTGACGAAGAACAGGTACGCGTACACTTCGTATTGTCGTGGATTTTCATTGCAGTAAATGCGGTCACAAGCAGACTCGACTATTTAAAGTTCCTAAAAACCCACCCGATCTGTATAATAACCACTAAAACCTAGTTTGACGAATTAACATATTTTGAAGGGTTTCATAATTCAATAAAGATAGATTTAACATCTCTGGGTCAAAGATTTTTGGACGAATCGCCTTCAAGTATGAGCTGTGTGCTACCTAAAAGGGTATAAGAACTTTGTAGGCAAGTTACTTAAAGAAAGACCTTTCAAAATACCAATTTCTTGCAAACGGTCAGTGATAGTACAAAGTGGAAGAAATGATCAGTATAATATTGCAGCTTTTTTGTTTTCAAACTCTTTATAACTCGACAACTGTAATGTGAGTAATGCAGTATAGTTTTGTAAGAAAGACATTTAAAAGATTGACTAATAGAATCGAATTTAAATGGCTTCGAATTTTTGTGGACTAACCAACCGGGATATTGTTGTGAAATAACAAGTCTAAATTAAACTAATTATGTACAACAGAGTTTTATCACATCTTGTTAAATTACCTTGTGATTATATTGTATTTAACCTCTTGTCTGTCGATATATGAGACACAATAGAAAACATATTGTGTCGCGTATTCTGCGTTCCGAAACTTCACAGGTTAATTTATTAAAAAAAAAACTGGACATCATACTTGTTTAAAATGTCTTTAACATTAAATCATTGACATTGAGTATCCGATCTCCAAATTAACATTCAAATAATACTGGACATTAGCTTATAATAATTATTATCAATCGAAACTTTCATCCAAAGACAACCACATTGATATTGTCGAGTTGTAAATGGTAATAAACAACTTAATAAATAATAAATCTTAGTACTTGCAATACACTTTCTTCTACTTGAAATTCAGGGTAAAATATTAATTTTGCAGTTTTAATTTTTAATATAATTTGCCCTTTATCAGACTCGTTCGTTTTGTGTGTGAAAATTGCATTTTTCACGTTCAAATAGATATAACGAAATGATTCCACCTAGATTATAAGACTCAATGTAGTTGTTCATAAGGACCTTCAGGTATTTAAGTTGTATATATTCTATAGACAATTGATAATTATATATGAAAGTATATATCTGGTAAACAATAACTTAAAATTGAAAAAAAATAATAAAAATAAATGTATATACAAAAGGGATTATTGTTGTTTTATTATTTATCCAACTCCTTACCCGATAGTTTATTTTTAACATTAAATTCATACAAAACTTGAAAAAGATATACATAAGTGATGCCTTTGTCTCATAGGGCGCAGAAACTACAAAGCGCCAGTTACTAAGCTCTTTACAAACTTCTTTAGTTTCCATCATTGTCTAATGCTTGAGAATGAATTGAGAGCTTCTTGTTTGTTTAGTATTTTGAATCTGGAGTCTCATCCCGCGCGCCGGCAGTGGATTACGGTAGGCGTGATTTCTATATAAATAGAGATACTTGCATACAATGGTAAAATCTGCCATCCCGGTACACGACGGGGCGGTAGTTTTGAGTGTTTGACTGTGTCATAAGGCCTAAGTGGTATGGCCATAATTCATATGGCCTAGTGGTAGTTTTTGTATAAAATAAAATACTGATTTCTTTCACCATTAGCAAACACTGGCAGCGTAGACGTTTTTCACTTTAATAAAACACTAATTCGTACTCAAAATTCCGCAACAAATATCAAAATAAATATGAAGTTCCAGTATTTTGGAGGCATATCCACATTATACTCGACGTCAACGACCTTAAATCAATCTACCTACTCCGACCTCTGATTATTAGGTATTTATTATGTGCCGCAATATCCCAGCCGTAGTCGCATGTACCGGAGCTCCGACTCGACGTGCAGGAGAAGGAACGGGGTGGTTTTTAGTCATTAAGAGTCTGACACCACCTCCCGTCTCACCCAGGCGGGAGAATCAGTAGATGATTTTCCGCTTTAAAAAAAAATTCGCGTGCAACAGTTGCGTTGCAAGCAGTTGTCAAAAGGTGTGCCAGCCACGTCATAGTCGGCTCTTCCCGACGGTGGATGACGTCACGAACGAGATTAGTGACGCATCCTTTTATTAGGTATTTGATAAAAACAAATGAATAATCATTTGTTTTTTTAAGTCTAGTTTTACGTTGTTTTAATGATTTGGAACTGGTTTTTTGATAGTATAATTCGAAATAGGGTCAAAATAATAAAAGAATGGTGTTACGAGTAATATTTAAAAGATCGGGTCGAAAAGCAATGATTAATTGGTTATTGATAAGATGTTGGAATTGGATTTGTAGGTATTTGCTCTGAATTTGTGGCTTGGCGTAGGAGGGCTGGCGATGCTTTTACGCTCTGGCGGTCAAAAGAATAATGGAAACAGTCTGGTATTGTGGCTTGAAGAGTAGGTATCTTTTAATAGGCAAAAAAAAATAGCTGTTGATTAGCATTTTCTAAAGTTGTATAGAAAATCCTTGAAATTGTAGTTCTGTGAACACCAAACAAAACGCTTGGAACTGAAAATGTCATCTCAATTTTTTGTTTTATTAGAAAAATGTCTGTCGTCTTTAGAAGAACTTATTGTAGGTATTTCGAGCGTACGGCGCGTAGCGTTACGCGCGCGCCTCAAAGGGCCATCAGACCACCACAGATGGGGCCCAATAGAGCCGATGCCGATTCGGAGTCGCGGAGAACCTAACGGGTAACTGGGGCTCCGGCTCGACGTGCAGGAGAAGGAACGGGGTGGTTTTTAGTCAGTAAGAGTCTGATACTCCCTTCCGCCTCACCCAGGCGGGAGCAGTCATTCGATGATTTTCCACCTTAAAAAAAAAAATTGTAGGTATTTATGAGTACTTAGTTGCTTACGTGTTTAAAAATAATCGAAAATTGTATGTTATACCAGCGAGGTTTATAAGTTGCTCGTCATTAAGGATTAATGTAAATCCCGTAAAATCAGTTGTTTCTGTTGAAGTTGTCATATCTTATCTGTATATGATTTTTGAGAGGTATTACATACTTTGTCCTTCATTTGTGTTCATGTTTCTAATATTTGAATAAGGGTTG